GTATAGATTCACTTCCTGCTCCAAGAGGATATAGAATAAAGAAAAACGTATATCTGATAAAAAAATATATCAAAAAAGAAAATTTATAAGAAATTCAATATAAAGTAAATTATTATAAATTATTTGTATAATTACCTGCACCATAAAAGACTATAAAGCTGAACTCCGACCAGATTAAATGCGTAATATGAATATCTTACACATTCAGTTATTGACCATGCAATTGCCATGGTTGTGAATGCCCAATGAGATTGAACCTTTTTTTATTATTATGTAATTAAACGATTAAAGTACTGAATAAAAAGTATCGAAAACAAACAAGGATAATTGTAATACAGATATAAATGGTGTAATAAACATTTACCTCTGGAAAAATATCAACTACGCCCCAAACCAGAAATAAACGAGATGCAATTTGAAAAGCTGTGGTTAGGATGGGTGACCTCACAAAACCTTCAAAATATAAAACCGAATTAATATTGAAAATTTCAAATTACGAAATAAATTAATGAACAAATAAAAGATTACCAACTATGGCATGAACTAACTAATAATTTCAAACATTATTAATTTCAAACATTATATGAATTAGTTTACATGATATTTTTGCCATATTACTTAATTAAAATGATACCTCTAAGATAGCTCCAGTCTGTACGATCATCAAAATCCAGCCAACTCGATCATATACTGTTGTAAAATCACCACCATTTTGTGCCAACTCGGATAAAACCAACCCAAGAACGTAAGACCAGCCGGCACAAGAAGCAGCGTTATATAAAACAAGATAGCCTGTTTTAATATTATCTTTAAAAAATGATTTATATAAATTTGATGTGATTCAATTATATAAATAGATAAATATTTTAACCAGTGTTGTCAAGTTTGCATGCTTCAATAATATTTTAACCTTTTTTTTACGTATCATTTATCGAAACATGCATTATTGTATAACAACAATGGCCTTTTTATTAATGTTAGGACTACTTTGATAATTTTACCTGCAGAGGTAGAAGACATT